AAATAGTTTCAGTGAGGTCTTCTTGACAGCTACACATCCTTTCAGACCCACAGTGCTGAGTCGTCTTCTCACAGTGGAAGGATGGACAGAAACACCTGTGGATGTTTTCAGATCTGATCAGCTTGATTTTCTCCTCTCTCTCAGAGATGAAAGCTTAAGTGCTGTTTATCTGATGGGGGCAGTTTTGGGGTCTGCCTGGTCTTCCAGGTGGTTGCTAGGAGGCACATTTTCTCTGTAGCTTTTAGAAGGTTTTGAACTCCAGTTTTGGAAACTCCTGTTTTTTTCTCCTTATTTTCTTTTGAGGCACATGAGAAACAAATGATGATGTGTGTCTGGGTAGTGGCAGGTCTAATATTACACTAAAGGTTGGAGACTTCTGTGTAAAAGTCTATTAAAAGCTGAAAGTAACTTGTACTGGATGGCAGCTTTGAGTGGTCATTAAACCAACAAGTGAGCGGTCTCTGATTCCTGCACGGTACTGTGTACGAAGATGTTAAAGTGCTAAGGCTGTTCACTTCGCGTGGTACGAATGTGCAGTCATGTTCATCAATATGAGGGCCGTATGTTACGTTTAAGTATGCAAAAGTTAAGAAGTCAAAGGAAAGACCTGACCACGGGAAAAACAAAGTAGGGCCGTGACATTTCCTTTGCCCTTTGTCAGGATCCTGCTCTCTGGCAGAAGCTACTCAGCTGCTCAATATTCATCTCCACATAATCTACTCAGAGAAAACACGCTGATATCCACTCAGGCACTGATAAAACCACATCATGCTTCATGTAGCCCACTTCCTGCATGTTAATGAAGTCAAACCAGGCAGGAAAAAAACATACAAAAAAATGATCTCATGGCTGTATTAATGAACATACATATATACGGACCGGACATAGTCGCAAAGGCCGCTAAGTGGCCTTGGCCTGTTTCACGTATTGTAACGCGACTACTCCTAACTACCGCCAGCTTGCAACATGCATCAATCAGCAGGCGTAGAAGAGAGAGAATACTGTAGTAGTGCATAACTCCTCTGGGGACAAACTGAGGATTTATATATAATGCATAACCTCCATGACTTTTTCCTGTGAATTGTTTTCCACTGCTATATCGGTGTGCAAACACGGCCTGGAGCTCGCTGCGGTAGATTGCGCTCGCTGCCCGTTGCAGTAGATTGCGCTCGCTGCCCACTGCTGCAGCGAGAAAAAGTCTGAAAAACCTAAATGATGAGTACAGGCAGAATAACTGATGAAGAGAAAGAAGCTGAACTGAAGGCTAATAGATTCTATGAGATGCTTATGAATAAGCTGTTATGTTACCCCTCAGTCAACTCCCGGAGAACGTCCACTCGCCTTTCCACTCAATCTGAGCTGCCAGCTCATTATGCCAACCTTGTAGCTACACTCATCTTTTTGTCCGTCCACAGCTCCATAGAGAGAGATATTACGGTAGGAGTGCAGTGCATAAACCCCTCGTTGTAGAGATGAATGCACACTTGAGAGTTCGGTGGTGCAAAAACCATCAACACAGGTCTGCAGAGATATGACAAATTAAATGGTCAGATGGTCAAGTGGGTAAGGGCATGCGTGGTGTACTCCACCAGAACAGTACAGGCCTGAATGCTTGGCTTTATGCTATGGGGACATTTTGCCGGCCTGGTTTGGTTGAACACGTCCCCTTAGAGGGAATGTTCGCTGAATGTTTGATGAGAAATGTAAATCATACGCTACAGTCATCAGATTTCAACCTAACTGAACCCCTACGGGAGATTTTGGACTGACATGTCTCCACCACCATCATCCAAACACCAACTGAGGGAATATCTTTTGGAAGAATGGCGCTCCAACTCGGTTCCAGAGACATGTAGAATCCATGCCAAGCAGCACTGAAGTGGTTCTGGAAACAGCCCAAAATGACTTGGTAAAAAGTCTGGTTCCATTGACTTCCATTAAAAGTAAAGAAGGTTTTTTCCTTCTCCTGTAAAGTTGTCATTATTGAGATACAAGGTTTTCTTCCGACTACAGGATGGTGTTTCCTTTAATTTGTCACAGTGGTTACGATTGCTGACCGTAGCCCACCTGTTTTCAGATATTATTTTGGTGGTGGACCATTCTCAGCACAGTAGTGGCATGTTAGTGTGTGTTGTGATGGAATGAACATCAGACATAGCCGTGTTGTTGTAGTTTCAAACACCTCAACAGCAATGTTGGGTTGAGGACTGGCCGCAAAGGCCAAATATCCAGTTAGCAGTGGTCCTGTGGCCACTGATGAAGGGCTGGAGAATGACTTCCACAAACTGTGCATGAAAATAATGAGTTACAGTCTCTGACTGTAAACAGAAGCTAAGTGTGTCTAGCAAAGTTGGCCAGTAAGCATGTCTAAACATTCCGGCAATGCTTCTGTGCTGCTTGTACCAGCACAACCAGGGCTGGAAAATATGACCATATTTAGCCTTTTTACAATGAATTATGTCACAATTTGCATTTGTGACCATACTGTGGATAAGGTCTGTTTAAAACACTTCCTACCTGCATGTTTGATTACAAAGAGAGCATAATTAGTCATATTTCATTGGATTTACTGCAGATAGTACGTGAAAGGCTCAGATGTTGAATATACATCATTACATTAATAGTTTTTATAGTATTTTTTTGCATGTTGGAACAAAACCTCATATCGCCATTTTTGGCGTTTTTCAGTTTTTGACATAATTTGAAAATACTTGTTGCTCTTTACATTGTGTGTAAATTTCATGATGAATGGACCAAAAGAAACGACCCAAAATGACTTGGAAAATAATCTGGTTCCATTGACTTATATTAAAAATAGAGTCTGTTTTTTCCTTCTCCTGTAAAGTTACCATTTTGAAGATACAGGGTTTTCTTCCTAGAACAGCGATACAGTCTTCTCCAATTTTTGAGATGAGAAAAATTATATATCGTGACATATCATGTATGAAAGTCTCTCAAATTATTGCGATATTAAATTTTTGCCATATCGCCTGCCTCTAACCACAACACACAAACACGAGCCACTCACATCGAGGCAAAGTTCTGAAAGGAAAGCCTGTTCACTTGGCGGTTATCTTTGCGACACCACTGGGCAGTTATTCCCAGCCATACCAGGCTTCTCTCTCTTTGAATGGAGAGAGCCCTAAATACTCGAAACTGAAGGTCAAATTAGCGTTTAAATAACATATTAGAAATCACGTAGTTGGTTGGAGAGTTTGGCTCAGTAATGCAGGGCCCCACTAGCGCCACAATCACTGACTTTTCCCTGCTTGAGGCATAATCAGCAAACTGCTTGGCTCTTTTTCTTGAGGGGCGGGACTTTCTCCACAAAAAGACCATGTTAAGCTTTGTTTACACTTGGTATTCATGTCCATTTCCACGTGTCTAAAGGGAGGGTGTATACTTGGTGCGTCAATCTTAAGCTACGCATCTGCAGTGATGCAGTTAATTAGATAGTTTTCCTGTTACTGTTGGGGACACATTGAGATGTTACAGCATTCACACCACAATGTTATGTGGTCATATCCGTTCCGGACCACCTCTGAGGTGATTTGAGTGATCAGATCACATTCTGTCTTCGAGATGCACTGAACCCTGTTTATACCAGTACTAACCACCGTGCAGCTTTACACTGTTGTAGTCTTCCTCACTGAGAATGCTGGAAAAGACCTTATTTTAATGGTGTCATTGTAAATAAATTGGGCTGCCTGTTCTTTTTTGGCACACAGCTCTATTTTATTGTCTGTCATTTATAATGTATTTATTATTTTATGTTAATCTCCATATAAAGCACTTGGTGAATTTGTGTTAAGGTGCTATAGCAAGTTTACTACTATTATTATTAGGTCATAAAGTTATTCCCTTTTCACAGTAGCCATAAAATACAATTTCTGGCTGTTTTAGGGCCCCCTTAGTAACACTGATGGACTATATCTCAATATATCTCTATATCTCAACACAGAGTCATAACATTGTACACAGAGTGCCAGTTCACCTGATAACAGAGTTAAAGGGACAAAATTGTTTATTTCATTACATGTATTAAAAATGTTTGAGTTGATTTCCATTCTGCTAAAGGAATGGCCACTAGGGGGCACTGCAGAAAGGGATTATACTAACATACGTATACATGTCATAACTGTAAAAGTAGTAAGATGCCTTATGTGACTCTGGACCTCCAGACCAAGCGCTCCACAGACAGGGCCAAAAGGTGGTGACCTTCACACGGAAAGCAACCCATGTCTTGTTTTTGTTAAGGTTCTTGTCGGACCAGCTGGTCCCGACTTGCTCCACCTTTGCTCTCACCCCAGTAACAGCAACTAATCGCCCGTGAACACTAATGCTTACCACCTTCGCACAAACCCCGGCCTGGCCGTTAGCGCGCGCCGCTGTTTTGACATCTGTTGACACCCGTGACACAAGCATGGGAGATCAGATCCGATTAGTCTCCATAGCAGCCAGTGCTTTTAGAGGCATGATGAGGACATCAGAGGAGCACATGACCGAGTAAATGGAGATCAGAATCGGTCTGAACAAAACCTCACATCTCCAAAAAGGTGACTTTACTTTAATGGAAGCTGACGAAGATATTATTTTGAACAATTTCTGTTTGTTCCCTCATCATGAAATTCTGATCCAATGCAAAGGGCAGCTGGTGATTTTCAATTATGTGAACAAATGGAAAAACAACGGAGGTACAAGGTTTTGGTCTGGCAGAGATGTGGCCAAGTGTTATGAACTCTCTTGGTAAATGGCTCCGGGTCTGGACAAGCAGAAGTGTGACAATGCCCCAACCCTCGTATTATTTTTGGAGACAATCTGACCTCATTTTGGTCCATTTATCATGAAATTTACATACAATGTAAAGGACAACAGGCATTTCAAACTGTGTCAAAAACTGAAAAACAAAAATGGAGATGAGAGTTTTTTTCCCAACAGTCAGAGAAAGAGGCAGACAGTTTCTATGAAACAAACCCTGTACAAAAGCCAAATTCATCTACCTGCAGTTGTCAACGTTGTTCGCGGTGATAGCGGTGGATGTGCGAAATCCCCGGAGCTTATTAATTTCAATTATTTCTATACAGCCGGTGTAGTTGTAGAGAGGCTCGGCTCCCTGAGGGCAGAGAAGAGGAGAAGAGGAGAAGTCAGAGGCTGTTTTTCTAGAAGAAGAAAGCAGTAAAAACCACTCACGCCTGAGGCTGAGAATGAAACAGCATGCAAAAAAAATACATCAGACTTTGTGGCAAAGATAAGACACAGTTCGTATGGTACGATCACTGTACGAATAGGGTCGCTGTATTGGAGAAAATTCAGTGACGTTGAGGGCTGGACTCTGGGGTGGTCAGTCCATCGTTCAGCTTCTTTGTTTGATGTGTCCGTCTCCTTTTCTCAGTGAGGTTCTTCTTGATCAGCTACACATCCTTTCAGACCCACAGCGCTGAGTCGTCTTCTCACAGTGGAAGGATGGACAGAAACACCTGTGGATGTTTTCAGATCTGAAGCAGCTTGATTTTCTCCTCTCTCTCAGAGATGAAAGCTTTAAGTGCTGTTTATCTGATGGGGGCAGTTTTGGGGTCGACTGGGTCTTCCAGGTGGTTGTTAGGAGCCTCATTTTCTCTGGAGCTTTTAAGATTTTTCTTTAACTTCAGTTTTTGGAAACTCCTCTTTCTTGTGCAAGTGGATTATTTTATATCTCAGAAGTATCTACTTTATTCGATTTAGATGTGCTTGAGAAATAAATCTGGGAGGCAGCTGAGGTGAGTTTGGGTAGCTGTCTGTATGACTGTTAGTGTTTGAAGGGGAATAGAATGTCATTGAGATCTTTGGGAGCAGCTTTTGTTGCAGCTGTAACTGGTTGGCTGTAAGATTGGAGGGATGGAAGAGTAAAATTGTAAATACTGATAGATTTGATGTTATACTCAGTGTTGGAGACTGTAATTGTGTTGGTAATTGTCTGTTAAATATCGGTTTCCTGCTTTTGTTTCTAAAAACGAAGAACTTGACTGGAAATTAAAGTCAGTTAAAGTGGTCTCTGACTTTTGCGCTGCACTTCATATCACTGGAATGTCTGTTAAAGCTTCAAATGTCCATGTTTAAGCTAGAGCGTGATAAAAAGAAGAACATATTCTCCATCTATAATGGAAAAAATGAAAAACAAATATATATACACAGGAGTAAAGCACCCTGACACAAAATTCTGTTATGTAATATTTTTATTTAACACTAAATGCGCATCTTCAAAAGAGAATCAAAGGCCTTATAAGCTTAGAAGTGATTTTACAGTATATCAGTCTCACTGTTCAGTTCTCTTCTATATGAACTGCATGCCTAAATTATCACACACTTGTCCTGAACCGTGTTGAGGTATTGAAGTGGATATTTCAAAATTCAATCACTGAGATGTAAACAAAGTCATTTAGAGGGGTTTGATGCAAGTTCACTGTAAAAAAAACTTGCCTATACAGTGGTGGTGATAGGAACCAGGGGTCGCCATGACTACAACACAAATATAGACATTTTATTTACTGTCCAGAACCACCAGTGAACCTACACGAGTCTTCTGAGTCTATATGGAATACTGACATGCTAAAACAGTGGGTAATCTTTATGTACCAGAAATAGATTTAAGGCCAAATTGTTCTCTCAAAACTATCATAAAACAGTGTCTCAGTCATCAGGCAGTGAATTCATAACCATTTCATGTAATAACGCCTGGTTCCTATCACCAACACTGTGAATTCAGACTCGGTAAGTATTTTCTAGAACAGAGCGTTTCACACCAAACCACTCTGAACGACTCTGTTTACATCTTAACCGCTTTATTATTTGAAAAATTGATAGAAGTAATCACAGTGTGGTTTCTGATAACTGTACTGTTATCTAAATAAACGGACATAAGCAGAAGCCAGCAGCAGACAAACAGAAGACTGGATTTTGTCTGTATATTTATTCATTTTCATAAATAACTATGTTAGAAGTGAAAATGTCTTGGCTGATTCACCAAATTGTTAATATAAAAACTTTCATTTTTCCACAAAACTATTTCTTTCAGACTTTCCAACAGATTAAACATCTCAAAACGGCCTTTACAAAAACAACCGCTGTCCAGTAACTGGAAAAATCTTACCTTGTATGGAGGGTGACTGAGCGGTAGACCTCCTACGAAAACGTGGCCTGTCTTCTGAACGGTCAGTCCTGACCAGTAATTGCTCGGGACGCTTCGGACTCGTTGAAAGCCGGACACGGCGACCTCAGCCTCGCACGGAGCCAGATACTGTCTGTGGGGGGCAGAAGACTGTTCTTTAAAATGCTAAAGCGCTAAAGAACCGAGCTTAGAACAGGAATGCAGTGCAGTCAATGGGATCATGTCTGCATGTCTAAAGCCACCGTCTGGTCCCTGCTTATCTCTTTGCTCAATGCTAGTAAATATGCTAAATTAATGATGTTTATCATAAATACCACCAAAGTCGTTTAACGCTCTCCAGCTTTTGCTAATAAGCTTATTCTTTTTTTCACTCTTGCTTTAAAGCCGAGCTCTAACTCTCATTTTATCTTTATTATTTTTATTTATTTTTTATCTCTCTTTTTTTTAAATATTCAGACCCAAAACAGGTTGTGGGGAATACATGCAGTGTTTCCATGGATACGGCGAGAGAGAAGGGAGTGCATTAAGAGTGAGGCAGGATGCACAATGAATTGGTTATTCATTATTCCCTGCAAAACGCAGCCGGTCGAATTTTAGCGCGGAGTTATGACTTTGAAGTCTTCACTTTTGCCTCGGCGCTCCGTTTTCTGCAGGCTCAGCCTCCATGTTGAAAAGAAAGAGAAGCAAAAAAAAAAACATGGAGGAAACTGATTTCTGAGCTGTTTACTACCAGCAAGCCATACAACATGGGTCTGGGGAGCCATACTGAATAAATATATCAATCAATCAGGGATGGAAACATTAATTTAATCTGCATTTGACTTCAGAGAGGGCCTCCAATGGCTGTTTGGCTGTATAAACACCTTTTTTTGTGGAACTCTTTGAAGTCAATTCAGGCTGGTCATGACAAAAGCATGGTGAAATTCTGATGAAAGTGCGCTCCATTTTTAATCAATACCACAGCTTTTAAACTATTAAATTATTATTATTATTATTTTTATTATTATTATTATTATTATTATACTGTTTTGTGGAATAAGAAACCATTCTTTACATTTCTGCCATTTTTATCATTGTTTAACATTGAAATCAGACTCTAGAGCTGCATTTATGTGATTATGAACCGCCGTTCTGTGTCTAGTAGCAGAATTGGCAATGATTTACAGCGAATGGCCACATAAAGCCCTGTAAGCATTAGCCATGATTACATGCAGCCTAATATTACCTGTTAATAACCCGACTAATAGCTCAATGGGAATAGAATACGTCCATGTAAACACCTCAGTCAGAATAGACTAGTCCGAATACAGTGTCTATCCGACTGATCGAGGTGGGTAACCCTGTAAATAATCAGTTAAATAGAAGAATAATATCCGTGTAAATGCCTGTATCTGATTACATTCCCTATCGGAAAGTTTAAGTCCGTTCTGATCATGTTCGTCACGTCATAGTGAAAGTTTATACCGTTCAACATGGCGGAGCAGAAACTGGTCTGCAGAGGAGACGAAGTTTATGCTCTGATCTTTAAAAGACGGCGGTGGGACGGACGTCCAGCTTATGTGTCTCAGAACACGACGTCTTCCTCTCGGCCTTCTTTAATAAGGACATGTGAAGAACGTTTTCCTGAGTCTGACATCATTTTAAAGCAGTTAAAAACACAAGCGCTGCTCACTGCTGCTCGTCTCACTCTGACTGGACTCACGTGATGCTGGTTGTCATGGTAACGTCTACACTAAGCGGTTCTCTACACGTGTAAAATTGTGGATCTGATTACTTGTAGTGAGCATGTAAACAGAGATTTTCATCAGATTGTTGAGTAGAGTGAGAATAAACACCTCAGGCTTAATCTATAATTGAAATGTAATCAATTGAATTGGAGAAAATCTTTGCATGTAAACACAGACAGTGATCTGACCCTGGCTTTACTGGCGTCTCCCTCCGAGCGCAGGGAGACAGTGTTAGCCACTACTGCATCCTATCAGTGTTTGAACATCCTTGGTCAAATTACGTTTTGTTGATTTTCTTAAGTGACACACTCTCTACAGGGAAATATAAATATGACAAATATCCTGCACATTTTTGTGCACAACTTCTATCTATTTTTATGATCCAACAAAGATATTTAATGTCTTGTTGTCAAATATCTCAGTATTTATGGCAAAAATATATAACATCAATATCTCAACATTTACAAAGCATACATGTTTTATCTTATGTTAATATAAACTAAGAGACATTTTCAAAATAAAAGTCCTCATTTTTTAATAAAAAAAAAACTATATTATTTTTAGTGAAACGCCTCATTTCTGGACAGCCAAAATAAAATGACCCTGTTTTATCCCTTTGGTCATTAAGTGCTTTGACACTAATGTACATTTCACCTATATTTTCAACTTCCCTTAAATTCCTTCTTTCTTCTCAAGCATTTGTATTTTGCACTTCAAAATTTCATTGTGCTACAGGGTTCAACAGTCTACACATTGTTGAGGACACTGTTATTTATCCTAAGTTGTTCTTGGGTTAAATACTAGCACTGTTATCTCAAGGATTAATAAATACTTTACAGGTTTGATTTTATTTTTAGTGATGTTCTTCCTCACTTACGGTATTGAAAAAAGAAGGCACATGTATACCTGTGTACTGGTTAATTGGTGCTCTTTTATTGGACTGTTATTTCAAGGATCGATACATTGTCTTTTGCCTTTACCTGAAAAGTGATGGAAGGTAACCAGACTGAAACGCACGTTATGTGGATCTTTAAACTGCAATGCAAAGTAGTCAACTTACATTAATGCATGAGTCCCACCGTCATACTAAGATTCGTTGTTTACAGCAAGTGATGTACTGTCCATACAGTAAAGTGACACGTAAAGCAACAAATGCTTAAGAAAAAACAAATAATTAAAAAGACGTCATTAAAATGAGAGCATAGGTGAAGCACGCCTCAGTCATGCTGAGCCGTTTTTACCAGAAATAATATACTTTCAATAAAAATGGAGGACTTTTATTCTGAAAAATGGCATGGCCATCCATATTAATGCCATGGAAAACATGTATACTTTATAAATGTTGATTTAAACATTCACGAACATGTTATGAAGTGTTCATGTAAGATGTTGTGAATGTTTTATGAGGCCACACTTCAAGTAAAGTGTTTCCGAAATATTGCAAAGCAACTTTCCCCCCACATTTTAGCCCTAATGTGAACATTATTACTGCAGGATATTAAAATCTCAAATATGGAAGCAGGTATTTGTAACTTATCTGTTGGAACCCGAAGACTAGCCGGGAACAAAACACTGAGCCATCCTTTGGTTCCTAACAGAGAGCCTAAACTCACCTACGCCCTGAACATGTTTGCAATTTCATGGCTGTTGTTTCTAAGGGTAGACGTCCATCTGAAGGTATGGAGACGCACCACTGACATATTATCACTGCAGGACATGAAAAGAACAAACATGAAAGAGGACGAGTGGCTTTACTTTATGTGCAGGAATATGAATACAGCCTTGATGTGAAAACACTGACCTATCCTTGTGCTCCAAACACTCCACCACCGTCTCTGCACATACGCATGTATCATATACTGAACATGGCTACGTACCTCACCTAATAAATACAGTTTTATTGTGGTGCGACCGTTATATTAAAACTGTCCGATAGCGTCAGAGCAGTGACAAGCTATTAACGGCATGTCATAAAAAGCGGACAGCAAAACGAACAACGGCCGAGCTTTGAGGCCATCCCTCACCTGCAAACTCGCTCGTCCCTCTCTCTCTCCGTCCCTTAACCCTTGCTTTCCCTATAGGTGAAAGATTCAGAGACTGGCGAAGTCATCTTTAAAGACCACACGGGTCGTTTGCTATAATTATATTCACAGATTTTTGAGTTACCAAGCACATTTCGCCATTGAAAACTTTTAATTTTTTAATTTAGCCAGTCTAACTACTGTAAAACAGTGTCTCAGTCATCAGGCAGTGAATTCATAACCATTTCCTGTAGTAACTTTCTGTGAGGGAGCTTTTAGAGGTGGACGTCTGGTTCCTATCACCACCACTGTGAACAGTTCTGACTCTAAGTTTCTGTAGAACAGAGCGTTTCACACCAAACCACTCTGAACGACTCAAAGAACCATTTGCATGCTTAATGCATCATGAAAGAGTTCCTCAGATCGATGGAACATGCAACAGATGGTTCTATACAGAACCTTTTTGAAGGGTTTTTTTTGAGTGTTCATGGTCCTATAAAGAACCATTTTCTTCATCTATTTTAAGTATGTAGTTGTGGAGGCAGTGAACGCTCCCGGATTTACTTGCAGCAGCTTCTTGTATAATGTAGCCGTTGTGGATGAGCAGGTTTAAACCAGGTAACTGTGTGATCTGTCGCTCACATCACTGTATTGTTCAAGGGTTCTTTAGTAAAGACAATGGTTCTATTAAACAATGGTTCTATTAAAACCACGAGTTTTATAGAGAAACATTTCATGCTTAACTGGTCCTTTGCATGGAGGAATCGTTCTTCAGACTGATGCAGGAAGTGTTGTATCTGGTTCTATATAGCACCAAAAAGAGTTCTTCTAGGTTAGGCGTGTCAAACTGGGGACCTCTTGGGCCAAAGTGCTGCGGAAATTAGCGTTTACCTTCACCTAACGCTCCGAATTCAGTTAATGAAGACTTTGATAATCAACTGATGAGCCTAATCAGGTGTGTTTAATGAGGGAGTGAGCTGAAGTCTGCAGAGTTTTGCTGCGCGAGGACTGGAGCCTGACACACGTTCTATAATTGGAAGAACAGCAGAACCCTTTTTGGTGCTATGCAGAACCATATACCACACATTCTCCATCAATCTGAAGAACAATTTCACCATGTAAAGAAACATTAATCATGCAAATGGTTCTATATTGAACTTGTGGTTCTAAAGAGAACCACTGCCTTTGAAAAATCATCTTTTTAAGTGTTTAACACCTTATTTTGCACCCCTACACTTGTGTTTTGACGGGCGATTTCTTGTGACGCTGAACGAGAAATAGCTTCTTTCTCTCCTCACCATCTTCCATGTCGTGGACATGCCGTTCTCGAGCCAGTTCCTGAGTCTTGGGAGATTTCAAAAGCTAATTCGGCCTCGGCCGAAACA